CTCTTTCTTTTACTCCTAATATGCAGAAATTTAATGCTTATATAAATCTGAGAATTATTTCTCTACTAAAGCTACTGAATTCAAAGCCAAAGAAAATAGTAATGTTTGTTGCCTAAAATCAAGTAAAATAGCCATATAATAACCTCTCTATATTATGTTATATAAGCAATATTTAAAACTCCAAGAATTATAGACTTATAAAATCGTTAAGTTGAAAGGAACCTGAGAAATCACCTAGCTGAAATTCTTCCCAAGGTAATTTCTTCCATAATCTAGACTCCTCCAGGGACAAATTTGTACTTATCTTGGGTGGGAGCCCCTTCCACTGCTGGAGAGCACGAACAGCTCTACTACTCCCACGTGCACTCATGGCCCTCTCTGAGTTGTTATACCTCGTGCCGTGTCTGCTAGAGAAGGTAAATTTGCTATCATGGACATGCTGGTTTTAGTTATTACAGGCATTAAGTCTGTTAACTGGACCAGGGCTGGCATTCAACCAAAGCTATGTGAGTGACCAAACCCCTCTAAAGTGGCTTGTCCCCAAAGTTTCCCCAATAGTGAAGCTTTGAAAACTTACTCTTAGAGGAGCAAATGCTAGGTACCTCCAGCAAAGACAGCTCTGGAGAGCTTAAGTACATCCCAAACAATAGTGGGCTGTTGTTTCAGTCCTCTAGAACATCACAGTCATGGAAACACTGAGTCAAGGGGGACAGTGAGACAGCTACAATGGCTCCTACTACCTGACTTCTCTGAATACCCTTATACTAAACACCAATGGAAAAAGACATCTGTGTGTCTCTTCCTTTTAAAAACAGCCTAACATTCTCATGCTGAGCTAACTGTAACTGTCTTCTATTTCTATCCAGCCATCCAAGTTCTATCCTCTGCAATTCCAACTATCCCATGATGGCCTTTCACATTTTCACGTAGGCCCCAAGTCTTCTGTCCTCCATGGGATGACCCTCAGTTCTATCAATGACCCAAATAGTTACTTTTCTATGAACTAGACACATTTTAGTGAATCTGCATCCCTCCTAAAGGGTCCCCATCTGAGCATCTCCCTCCAGGCATGGTGTGAGCAGAACACAATTGGTATCTTGTTCTGCTTGCTAAGCTCCATAACCATTTTTAGCAAACCTGTTACACTATTTGTTTATACTGAGCTTGTGATCAATTAAAGCATCTGTGCATTTTTTTCATACAAATCACTGTCAAGTATACTTACACAATAGCTTTTTTAATCTAAATACAGATCTGTACATTATCTATATTACATTTACCCTTTAGACTTCAACTGTTTCACATCTTGTTTTTGTTATTCCTAAGATATTCCTTGTAGATCAGGGTCAACTATGAACTCAAGAAGCAAAAATACTTATTTTAGATATTATCCAAGTTACTGATTAAAAACAGCTTGGTACTGGCACAAGAACAGGGACATTGACCAGTGGAACAGAACCAATAACCCAGATATAAAACCATCCTCATATAGCCAACTAATTTTCGATAATCCAGACAAAAACATACAGTGGGGAAAAGAATCCTCATTCAATAAATTGTGCTGGGAAAACTGGATAGCCACATGTAGAAGACTGAAACAGGATCCATACCTTTCACCTTGCACAAAAACCAACTCACACTGGGTAACAGACTTGAACCTTAGGTGTGAAACTATTAGAATTCTAGAGGAAAACGTTGGAAATACTCTTCTAGACATTGGCCAAGGCAAAGAATTTATGAAGAAGACCCCAAAGGCAATCACAGCAGCCACAAAAATTAATAAATGGGACCTGATAAAAAAATTAATAAATGGGACCTGATTAAAAAGCTTCTGCACAGCCAAAGAAACTGTCAAGAGAGCAAACAGACAACCCACAGAATGGGAGAGACTTCTCACAAGCTACACATCCAATAAAGGGCTGATAACTAGAATTTATTTAGAACTCAGGAAAATCAGCAAGGAAAAATCAAACAACCCTATCAAAAAATGGGCAAAGGACATGAACAGAAATTTTTCAAAAGAAGACAGAATAGTGGCCAACAAACATATGAAAAAATGGTCAACATCTCTAATCATCAGGGAAATGCAAATCAAAACTGCAATGAGATACCACTTATCTCCAGTGAGAATGGCCTTTATCAAAAAGTCCCCTAACAATAAATGTTGGTGTGGATGCGGAGAGATAGGAACACTCCTACACTGCTGGTGGGACTGCAAACTAGTTCAACCTCTGTGGAAAGCAATATGGAGATACCTTAAAGTGATACAAGTAGATCTACAATTTGATCTGGCAATTCCACTACTGGGCATCTACCCAAAAGATCAAAAGTCACTTTATGAAAAAGACTCCTGCACTTAGATGTTTATAGCAGCACAATTCACAACTGCAAAGTTGTGGAAACAACCCAAGTGCCCATCAATTCATGAGTGGATTAATAAATGTGGTGTATGTATACCATAGAGTACTACTCAGCTTTAAGAAACAATGGTGATATAGCACCTCTTGTATTTTCCTGGATATAGCTGGAACCCATTCTGCTAAGTGAAGTATCTCAAGAAAGGAAAAACAAGCACCACATGTACTCACCAGCAAATTGGTATTAGCGGATCAACACCCAAGTGGACATATAGGAATAACATTTATTGGGTTTCGGGCAGGTGGGAGGAGGGAGAAGGGGATGAGTATATATAAATACAATGAGTGAGATGTGCAACGTTTGGGGGATGGTCACGTTTGAAGCTCTGACTGGAGGAGGGAGGGAAGGCATGGGCAATATACGTAACCTTAACATTTGTACCCCCATAATATGCTGAAATAAAATAAAAATAAAATAAAATAAAATACTAGGAATGAAACCAATGACACAACACTAAAAATTTCCTTCTCGTCTCTGAACTAGACACATTTGGTTAAAGTAGCCAAAACAACTATAAATGCATCCACACAGATGCAGTAATGTTTGTTACAAAAGTATAGAAAAATAATTGAACATGAAGTATAGTCATTTATAAGAACAAATAATACTTCAGGGTTACAGCATCCTGTTAGGGGTACCTTGGTTTCCCATTTCATTTCTGGAAGTTTATTGGGGCCAGAGTGGCCAAGTAGACAGAGTATTTAACCACTCTTTAATACTCCTCAAATGGCTTTAGTTTGGACAAATAGGGTCAACCCCAATTCTTAATCTGTTCTAATACTGCCATTAGAACTAGAATATCTTTTAGGAAGGAAAAGAAAAGTAGGGATTATCCCATTAGGAGTGGGATAACACAGAGGAAATGTCACATATTTCTTACACAAGGCTTTTGCCATCAGAGAACCTGTGAGGGTAATTACATGTAAGTAAATATGGCAAATTGAGAGAGATGCCAGCCCTAAGTGATAAAGCCATAAAGGAATAAATCTTTCTATACTGTAGATACCAAAGATTAGATTTAACAGTTTATCAGAGCTCCAAATAAAACTTAGCAAAGGTTCAAGCCTCTTTAAATTTCTTTTAGAGAGAAAAAAAAAATATATATATATATATATATACACACATACACACACACATTACACCTACTTCCTAGGTAATACAATATCTAAGGATATCACAAAATGGGAAACAGCTATTACTTGATATAAGTAATAATTTAGATAGATAAAATTTAATTTACAAAAATTCTCTCAGAAAACTGAGACAAATCCACATTTTCCATTGGCTTAAACAATTTTTACCCAATCTCACTGAAAGAAACAATTTAATTTGAAAAGATCAGCTATATTGATTGATCCAGGAGACCCTTGGTATTTCCCAGAAGAATAAGACTGGTAAAACAGAAACACTACATTGATATTTATTAGGGAATGAATAGACTGATTTATAGGGAAAGTCTCAAGCTTGGTACACATTATTTTCAAAAGAGGATCTGCCATATAACCAGAAACCAAAAGTAAAGCTTTTGAGGCATCCATTGGAGTGTGGTCAGGGAGTACAATATAGAGATCTATAATTTTAATGTTAATATCTATGAGTGATGGCAAGGCCCCAGGACAGCAACTGCTTTTTCATCAGAAATAGACAAGATGACAAATCTAAGTATGTTCTTAAGAGTTAATGTGATATAGGGGAAGAAGCTTAGAATTTGGATTGGTAAAGAACGTGGAAGCAAAAGATTTGAGTTCTTTTCCAGTTTTGACATTCCCTTATCTCTAAAATGGTGATGATAAAACCTAACCTACAGTGTCACTACAGAAATCAAATAAAATAGTGCAGATAAAAAGGCACACATACAGACAATGTACAAGCATTAAATGTTGATGTTAAGCTCCTCAAAGCTTAACATGTTGATGTTAAGCAGTAGATGTTAAGCTCCTCAAAACTAGAATTAATCTTATCTTTCTTATGCTTTATACCTAGCACAATCTCAGACTCACAGAAGAATTTGATAAGGATTATGTCTATAAATACATGACCACCCAGGAACTACACCAAAAAAAAAAAAGATCATCTAGTTGCATGCATAGTTGGGCAAGATAGATTTCATAATATGAAAATGTAAGATTAAAACCATTTATGCCAAAATATAAAGAATAATATTTAAGTGAACCAGATATGTATTTATAAATATGTTTATTCTCTCTATATAATACACCCAAACATATATGTATATGGTTTAATAGTTTAAATGTATTGTGTACAAAGAAAATATAAGTGAACTGTGATCTTTTAATGGAACATCACAGTCAAAGCACTTGAGATTCACTGAAGTAAAAACAAATTTCTACTTGGGATGATTATCTAACTTAATGTTAGATAACAGCAGTATGTTGCTATTATTGCCAAATATTTGTTCATATCTAATTACGCCTTAGCAAACCTTCCCAAATGTAGTTTAAAGTTTATTTACAATGTAAAAATCTTACTATCAAAGTTAATGCCCTCACTTCAAAAATTCTGGGGAGCATATCAATCTTACAAATAAAAACTACAAAGATAATTAAAGGAAGATGACTTACCTGGGTCTATAGAGGCAATAACATAGGTGTTTAGTTTTAACTTTTTTGGCTTGAATGAATATTCTCATCCATGGGTCAAAATACAGAACAGATGTGTAGGCTCTGAATGACCATCTCTCTGGAAAACTGGAATAGAAAATACCAAAGGCTGCAATGTAGAGGACACACGAAATCTCTTTGACAAGAAAAAATCAGACTATCAGGTTATGATGGTTACAACTAGAATCTACAGGAACTTTTCTTCTAAAACTAATGATGCTACAAACACTAGCAAATCTTTCAACACTCACTTCATTAAGCAAGCCTCTAAATACAAGGGCCTATATAAATAACCTACACATTGGTGAGAACTGAACTTTTGTTGGCAACCAACCAATTCTAAGTAGACATATTTTCAATAGAAAATATACTTTTGGTTAACACGATTGACCCAGAAGGACAAAATCAAGTCAAATAAAACAATCCCCCTGTTCAAACATAACAAAAAGAATCTAGGTTCACATGAATACAAAGCATTTCTATTAAGTTACTGTAAACAGTGGGCTACAATAAAAATGTTTCATTTGCTTTTAAAATTATGAACATGTAACATAAAACTTTATTCCACAAGTACAGTAAGTACTAAAATATGTATTTATGGCCAGGTGAGGGGAGGAATCTGATGACCTGCTAAGTGGAAAAGGAGAAGAGAGAAAAATAAAGAATGGGAAGGCAATAAAACAGGAGCAGAAACAATGTAAACAGCCTATGAAGAAAACTACCCTTGTAAAACTGCACACTGGGAAATCACCAAGTCACTGTATACTAATAACTCCGGGACTTTCCATATTAAAATCTGTAAATCCTCTCCAATTAGACAAAGAAATAAAGATCAAAAACAAGACCAGCAATGCTTAAAAAGCAATGCTTTTTACTACTGGGATGCAGAAAAGGCTACTATTAAGGACTACAAGGTCAGATAGAGAGCACAGAGCAGTAAATCCATCATTTTTACAATTCTACCTCAGTTCAGAGTGAGACAAAGATGATGAAAAGGAAATATAAGGGGCTATGTAAGGGGTTCCACTCAACACGATGACACCATTGCCAGTTACTCAGTAAGACAGGAGAGAGCTCCAAAGAATTTTCAAAAATGAAGATGAAGCCATAAGAAACCAAAGGATTTTCTGGTTGCTTATAACTTTCTTCAGACAGGATCTGAAGCTGATTAAAGAGCCAGAATTTCTTTTAATTGTTTAAAAAGAAATTCTTTTAAAACAAGTCTCCCAAAGAATTTTCCCAATATAGTGGTGGACTCATCACTATTATTGCATAAATCTAATACTAATGAGTTTTTAATATAACAAGATAGGCTGTCTGCATGAGGATGACATAGTACAGTAATGTGTTTGTTTTTAGTATACCAGAAGCTGCACAGTTAAGTATGTCTTTACCTGTTAAAAGAAAATTAAAAAATTACCTTGGGATGCTTACCATTATTTAAATCCTTTCTGGATCTACTATTCGATATTGCTCTTAGAGCTAGTAGCTTTCTTTTGACTCTCCTCAAAGCGGATACGTCTCTATCATTTGACGGTAAAAGTCAAAAGTAATTCAGAGCCAAGTTTGAGAATTTGGGAAATATGGTGAGAGATCAAACCAACTAAATAAATTTTGGTTAAAAACATACATATAAATACATTAATATTAAATATATATACACAAACACTAATATTTCTACCTTTTGATAACTTGGTTTATTCACTCATTCAATAACAATTTATACATAAATATGCATAGCACGCATGTTGGGGATCCTCAAGATCTCCTCTATGGTAGGAGATCCACTGGAAGGACTCATGGGCCTTAGCACATAATTGTACTCATGGCTAAGATGTATCACAGTGCTGCAGCAAGGATATACAGTGGCTCATAAGGGGAAAATACAGGTGGAGTCTGGAGGAATCTATCTGCTGGTTTTCTTATGTTCTCTGTCCCTCATAGAGAGTAACACAGGGCACACTCCTCCCTTAGCTATGACAATGCAACAACATGTGCATGTTTCTGTCTCGGAAAGCTCAGTAGAGACTCAGCATCCAAGCTTTCTATTGAGAGCTGGTCACATAGGCACCTCCTGCCTAGCACGTATCAAAGCTCCAGAGTCCCAGGAGGAAAGTAGGTTTTCAGCATAAGCCATATTGTTTGCAGAGTCTAGACCAGGGGTCCTCAAACTTTTTAAACAGGGGGCCAGTTCACTGCCCCTCAGACCGTTGGAGGGCCGTTGGAGAGTGTGGCACACATTCCACACATGCGCACTGTGTGCACGAGACGAGTCGGCTGCTAAGCAGGACAGGCAGTGATAACGGCAGCAAAAACACCTGGCGGGCCGTATAAATGTCCTCGGTGGGCCACATGTGGCTGGTGGGCTGTAGTTTGAGGTCTAGACTCTAGACACAGCAAACTACCCTTATCAGCTAGGAGAAGTATAGGGTGCTGTTTTCCAGCCACATTCCCAAAACCTTGCCATGGACCAAATTTGCAAGCCAGCCTTTCTAAGGATAGACACCTGCTATGTTAACCCTTTTCTACTCACATGCCTACTTTTGCAAGTTCCTGTTTTATTTGTGACAAACAGAATGGTAATACTTATTTGTGATGTCTGCAATAGAAAGAAGACAGAGGTAAATATAAAAACCATATATGAAATGGACTGCCCCATTGTAAATACCAAACTTCTTTATGTGATTTATAAGATCCTTCATGATCTGACCCCCACTTAATTCTTCCCACCTCATCTCTTGTCAGCTTCAGCCCAGCCATTTAGAATCACTTTCAGTTCCCTAGAAATAAGGTCATGCTTTCCTATCCCCAAGCCTCAGCATATTCACCTCCTCAGCCACTCTTGGTGAGCTCCTTTTCATCTTTCACCAAGGATGCAACCTTGAGATCTCACTTCCTCTGGAAGCCTTACCTCACTCCCCAAGAGTGGTGAAGCCTCTCCTCCATGCTCAGCTCCTTCTGCACCTCCTCATCACAGCACTTGCCACTCGGTGCTGGCACTGCCTGTTTATTCATCTGCATGCCCATCAGGCTGTAAATTCCATGAGGCTGGTGTCCTCATCGGTAAGTATTTGTTGAATTAATGACAATCATTCAGGACTTTCCTGGCTTAATTTAGAATGAGCAACAGAGGGTGTTCCCTACATAGAAGGCCTTTTTAATGACAGCTTATCTTCAATGACAATCAGTCTCTATAAATAAAGCCGTTCACTTGGCAAATTAAAGATACAACATGCTAAGTAGTCAGGATATCTTCTGGAGATAAAAAAAAAAAAATACTAGTGTTCTCTATTCACCAAGAACTGCTTCCTATACATTATTTTTTAGGAGTTTTTCTTCTCGTTTCCTCCTAAATGTCTTTCTTTTCTGTCTCCTTATGCTTTGCCAGAAGTGTCCAAATCTCTTTCTCTCTCTCTATTTAACTGGCTGTGATAAAAAACTGAAGAAAGCAAAACCCCGCACACACACACACAAACTCACTCTCTCTCTCTCTCTCTCTCTCTCACACACACACACACACACACACACACATTCTCTCTCTCTGTCTCCCCCCCCACACACACACACACAATCACATGATAGATGTGGGGTAAGAGCAGAGAATTTTAAGACAAAAACGGACTTTGTAGTTTGTGGAGTATAATAGAGGGAGATGGAACCAGAATCAATGCTTTTGTCCCAGGCTCAGCAATGGGTGTGCTTAAAAGTCTCTAAGTTAGCCTCTAGCTGTGGCTGTGCCCTTTGTTTGGCCTCTTCCTTCTCCTAATTTGTCCATATTATTCTGCTGCTGTTTTAAACATTGCTCCATGTGCAGTACATCGCCAAACTGTGTTAAGGGTAGGAGAGGGTTCAAGAAGTAGGGCTCCATGGCTAACGCCATGCCTCCCTATCCACTGATTCAAATTCTCTGTGGCTAGAGTCTGGAAATGTGAGTTTTTTTAAAGCTACCCAAGTGATTCCTTTAAATCTGCCAGGTTTGGAAACCATTGCCTGGTAGACTTAGTGGACAGGGTGGTAGCAAGGCAGGTTGCCTGAAAGGGGAGGAGAACAGTCTTTCACAGGTATTTGGACCTAGAACACTAGCCAAGAAATACAACCCTTACGTTATTCACATTGTGCACACAGACAACAGTCTCCCATCCAGCCCAATAACTGAGCTACCCTTATAAGGTCCGGTATTGAGAAAATGACTCTAAACTCCAGACTAAACTAGGTTCCTTTTGCAATCTCAGAAATGCCATATTTTTATTCACAAAATAGTATATATTATAACCACAATTATTTTCTGTGTTTATTGCTAAAGTCTTTACAAAATCTCTGAAGACTTCAAGTTTAAATGAACAAAGTTTATATTATCTTGAATATAAAGAAGTGCACAAAGATTTTTAACTAGTTTAAATTCTCAACTTTGAAGGGGCTAAGCAAATTTAATGTTAAGGTAGATTATACCTAAGAGAGATGTCAACTTAAAGAGGTAATTTAAAAGAAAAGTTAAACCCTACAGAAAGCAATGAAAGTGCTTCTTTTGTGACAACCACGGTGTGGCAAGCAGCACATAAGAACAATTTGAAGCTGTAAGTTTTGATGTGCTCCCAGCCAGCTCAGTTAAGACATAAACTAGAGACATTATGGAATGCTGCCCAATGACTGCGAATTTAGAAACATGCTGCCAATGTGGCACCTAATTTCAAAACATTACTTAGCACGAAATTTCAACTCCATTACTCTGTATTATATCATCACTCTCAGAGCTTCTTTTTAGATGAGTTTCTCTAGCTGCCTGAGATCCTGAGCCATTGTGGATTTCAGGGATATGGCAAGTCCCCTTGATGACAGCCAATTCCATGGCATGTCTTTTTCCCTAGGGTCTGTGTTTTCTTCTAGTTTCTTACAAAGTTAAGTGTGTATAATATTTATAACATTTAGAGGATAGTAAGTCACTGAAAGCAATGTGAGCACAAGGAAATCACATGCACAACAGACCAAGTGAAATCCACACATGGTCCAGAACTCCAAAAGGGAATTAAGAAAAATACCATAGGGGTATTCTGGCCTTCACAGTACGGAATTCAAGAGAGATTTCAAAG